TGAGTGGCCAGCAGCTAGTTGGCCACTTAGTCCAAGAAAAGGCAGTTTAGATATCCCATATTCTTTTGGATGTTTATGAGAGGATGAGCAGATGATCACAGAGAAGCTATGATGTAACGAGTTAATTTGGTTGAATTTTTTCTAGATCTTTGTACTAGGTGATTAATTGGACGATCATGTATTCTATTTTCACAAAACAGTATACTTAAATACTATGTTAGAGTGTTGTCATCATACTACATAATTTAAAGTATTCCCTGGCAACATTTCCCTTCAATTCTTCACCTTGTTTTGCACATCATTTGTTGTTCTGTTATTTTTTTTTTTTTATTTTCTCCTGTTCAAAAAGTTACTTATGATGATATTCTCTCTTTGACAGGTTTCTGTTCCTCACAATGAAATGGATAAAGTGGATCGGGGCGGTCTGGATAAAATGACTCTTGTGGAGGTTTTTCATCATACGTTTCAATTTTAAGATATCCAACATTTGCAACTTTAATAAGTAGATATTTGATTTGGGAATTGATTGTGGATAGGTTGGTCCAAGATTCTGTTTAAATCCAATCAAGATATTTGGAGGGAGCTTTGGAGGTCCAACACTGTACGAGAACCCGTTTTATATATCTCCAAACCAGGTTAAACTCTCTATGGATGAAAATCCCCCCCCCCCCCTTTTTCTCTTTTTGCCCGAAGGGTCCTCTTGATTCCCTGTTTGGGAGCCCTAATTGATTGATTATAGATATTCTTATGTTTCCATATACTCAGATTCGTGCATTAGAGAAGAGGAAAAAGGCTGGCAAGTATGCAAAGAAGATTAAAGCCAAGACAAGGAGGAAGATGCATGAGCTGTCAAATCCACTGGAGCCTGATGAGTTTGCAGATATGTGGAAGGAATGATCAGTCTGTCAGTATGCATGTTTGTTCCATTGGGTACGGGAACTCCTCGAGCTAAGATACCTCCTAGTATGCAAAACATTCGACAGTATTTTGGTTAGAGTTCTTTTCCGATCCCTCCATCCACTGACCCACCCCTTGCAATTTTGTCAAGAAGCATATGCTTGTATTTTTTCAATCTGAAAGGTGGTGGGTATTTAGAAGATGAGATTTATTTATTTGTTTTTTCTTAGTTTTTATATACCTTTTTATATAATCCGGGATATGTTGTATTAATAAAAGACATACGCTTATAGGCTTTGATTGGAAGGAGCTTAGGAAAAGTTGGGCTTTAGAAGGTTTGTTGCCCATTATACCAAAGGTGGGCCAAGTATCTGTAATTCAATGTTGATTGCGCTTGTTAGGTAGGTAGCTTACGGGTTTGGACTTTTAGCCCACTCGGGTTGGGTCAATGAGGGCTGCTGAAGGGAATATCAATGGACATTTAGCATCTATGGCCCTTATAATATGAGTCTGTTAGGGTTAAAATGTCCATATGAAATTGGAGTGAAGCTTGACCAACTGTGGTTATCAACAATGATTGGCAGACGGATGAATCACTCCATGGCTTGCGTTAATGGTGTATAATTGCAGTTTGATGGTAGATTATAAAGATGTTGCATTCAATTATCTGTTGATTTTAGTTTGTTCGAGTGGTCTCTATCAACTCTAGGAGATAGTAAAATATCATGTCTTGGATTTCTTTGCTTGGATCAGTTACTAATGCATCCAACCCACCGATTATCGTTACTAAATTGTCACCTGACGAGACTGGATAAAAGATTCATGTAGTTGACCCCCATATGGTTGGATGATGATGATGATCCTTCAACTTTCAATTAATTCCAACTCTATACCGCCATAGCGACGACTGTCAATAGGAAATATGTTGGTCTCAGTGTCTTGGGTTGAGACTGAGAGTGATGAGTAAAATCTATGCTATCTGTTAAGTTGATGAGTTTAGAGTTTAGCTTCTGGAGAGTTGGCTTGGCTCTACATTTTGCCGAGGGAAACTGTTTAACATTCATTATGACATTTCTCTTAAATTCACCTTAACTTTTCAAAATCTTTAAAGCTCACCACGTTGCTAACTTGACGTTAAATAGACTAACAGGTGTTAATATATTATCGTTTTATCCTTCATAAAAATTAAAAATATATACATATATTTTAATATTTTAACTAAAAACATGAAAAAGGAAGCTAGGCGCCCATTTAGTATCATCAAAATAACCGTGCGATCAATCAGATTAGCAGGACGACTGACAGAATAATCAGTAAAGTATCCTCTTCACCTGAAGAAGATAATCACCATTGGAGAAGGTAATTTGGTGGTTCGCCCACCTCTGATAAATACAAACTTTTTCATCAATAACACGAGCCTTTGGGTGCAAGCCATCCATTCTCGCTGGCGGTGCCACTTTGTTGGCAGACGCAGCTCTTGGTGGCACTGCTTTCAACGTATGCATGCTTATATTAGGCTGTCTTGCTTGGAGTTGGGGTAGGATTTACAGATTTATGTGATGGCATCGCTCAGATTTATACTGAGCTCGAGTAAGTTTATTCTTGGAACAGGATGGAGATGTGAAGACATCTACTCTCAGATTAATCACTTCCCCAAGTAACTTCGTTGCAGGACCCACCATTAGCTTGATTGGCTGAGCCCAAGTTTTAATGGTTGTTAGAGAGAAGATAAAATTAGGTAGTAAACTAGTAACTAATCTTCTTATATTGTGCGCAGTCGGTCCCACTGTATCTCTCAAAAATAGCTCCACCACAGTACAGAGGAGCTTTTAAGTTTAACAATGGCTTTCAGTTCAGTGTAGGCATTGGACCCTTATCAGCAAATCTCATAAACTTTAGTACCGAAAGGATTAGAGGCGGTTGGGGTTGGCGTCTCTCTTTGGCCCTGGCTAAAGTCCCAGCTTCAATCCTAATCAAGCTGGTGACATCTCTCATGTCCGCTGTGATGAATGGAGTTGTGGGTACTGGTTCGACCTTCATATCCTTGTTGATAGTGGATAGATTGGGCCAACGGGTGTTGTTTGCAATAGGCGAAGTTTAAATGTTTGTCTCACAGTTGGTCTGAGGAATAATAGCTGCCACACTCGTAGATCATGGTGGGTTGAGCAAGGAAGAGGCTTATCTGGTATTGATTTTGATTGGCATATACATAGCTAGTTTTTGGGTGGTCATGGAGTCCATTGGGGTGATTAGCAGGATAGAGTATCTTCTACAAATGAACGGCCTCGACAGCCTTGGAAGCCTGGAGAACAAGCTGAAGCTTGAGGGAAGAGAAGCTCATGGTCTTGGTGCTTCCGCTTTCAGCCCCGCCGCTCTGGAGATTTGAGAGTTATAGCATTCTCCTGCACCATTAATGGGCGAGAGAGAAAGCGTACGGGATAACGAAGATGGAAGAACACAACTTGAAAGGCGACATCTGACTCGCCATTTAGGGGCAATTTGGTCATGGAAATTATATTTATGCCAATCCGGACAACTTTTGTCAATGAATACTAATGGGGTTAGTTTTGAAACATGGGTTCCCTGACGTTTTGAAAAGTTATGGTGAATTTAAGAGAAATGCTGAAAAATCAAGTTGAGTTTTAGACAATTTCTCTTTTGCTGAATTAACTGCTTTAGCAATTTTTTCTTTCTATGTAACGAGACCTGTTCACTCTGCTCATGAATATTTTACACTGCTTCAGACTCAGGCTATATTGGGTCCATTTAAATTTTGGCAAAAGTTAAGCCCAAGCCGAACCCATGGACAGGTTTAGTAAGTTGTGAAATGAATCGATTTGCTCCATGAGATGCCATCTCATATAATGACCTCGGTGACAATCCAAAGGTTAATGCTACGAACTAAAAGGATGTGCATTTGTCTTAGTACTGCAGCAGTCAACACTAAAAATGGACTGTTATACTTGAGATAGCCATTTGGCCCATACCCATTTTCAACCTAACTGATCATTAGGCCGGTAGACCCCGCGATGGTAGTGGGTTTAGATGATCTGAACATGGGACAGATGACAAGCTGTGGAGTCTCTAATCCCACTATAGATCCTATATCCCCACACCCCAGCCTTAGGAAGAGTTCACATCGGTGCCTCATAGGGTGACTCACAGTACATCCCAATTGTGTATTGGGAACATCTCATGATTTTTAAAATCAAATTGGACTAGATGGTCAGACCGGAAAACCAAAAACCGGTCAAGTGATTGGTTCTGTTTTACCTATAACTGTTATTTTGTCAAAAACCATTGATTAGGTCAACAAACTACTGACTAGGTGGTCGAATTGTTCGAACTGTCCAATGGTTTAACTGTTTTTTTTTGCCAGAACAGACTATCATTTCAGTTTAAACGGTCATACCATTCAACCCGAGAACCAGACCCCTACCAATATATTGTCCGATTCAATTTTAAAAACCTTGGAACATCCCAATTGTTAAGGCAGATGTGATCCCCCTTAACAAATATCAGCGAGGCAGCGAAGTATATCCAAGAACAAAAAGTGCTCCAAATCCGACCTCATTAAGTGATTATAGCCCTAATTCCTCCTCACTTGGCAGTTTCTAAGTGGAGTGCGGACTTGGTCCCACCCCAACAGGCTTTGCAGCCGTGCATTGGAAATGGAAACATCTACCGGTTGTGGGACCAGTTCCGAATTCCTCCAAATCGTATTCATTAGGCTGTGTTTAGTTGCAGTGCAAATTTATTTGTATTAGTACAAATCTATAAGAGTACAAATGAAAAGAAATGTAAATTCTCATTTAATTTTGTTTTGGGTTTTACTTTATTTTGCTATGTCTTAAATTTACTTTATTTGTACTGCAATCAAATAAAATAAACTAAAATTTGAAATAGAAATAGGTCAGAATTTACACTCAAATCATTTGCACTGCCATAGTTTTGCAGCAGTGCAAATTTATTTGCATTGCAACCAAACACAGCCTTAAGAACGAACCATCGTATGGAGCGTCAAAAACCTTTACTTAGGATCTCCTGAAACTGATAGCACATTATCTATCCTCATATTAGGAATATCTTCCTTGTATTTAAAATCATTAGGAGATGTTCCCGATGTGTGGTTGGATGCTGTGATCTCAGATGGTTCACATGGACTTTTCTTTCCAAAATCTCATTTCATACATTGATTCAGATCTCTCGTATAAAATCACCGAAATCAATTCTTGGGTTTTTCTAAGCCACCTACATCTCCCTGTTGTCATCAGGGCCCCGTTCCTCCTCTATTACTCTTCACTGCTTCAAATTGGATGCTAAGCATTGCTCTTGATGATGCGTGATCTGGTACTCCTTGTTGGCAAACAACTTGGATGTCAGATTGAGTAGGTTGCCTAATCGAGCTGCAAGAAAGAGATCAGAGTGTCCGGGTTGCTTGACCTGGGGTAGGCACTCTGATGCTTAAGTTAGCGAATTGGAGATGTGATTGCTAAAATATAATTAAGAGAGCTAGAGTGCTTGAGAGTTAAATCTTGCGTACCTTTTCTGAAGAAGGGGATGCCATTATATAAGCAAACTTCCGTTAGGCTCATGAAGCGTGTCTGAGATCTCCGGCCCGCTTGGTTTGAGGTGGTTTCACATCAGTAGGTGGATTCCACGTAAACGGGTAATGTTTATCCAGTCGTGCCCAAAGTGGGTGGGGTGATAACTGGCTCTTCCAACATGGTTTTGTGATCATGGGAAAGTCGGAGACGATAACCCGCTTAAGGAGGAGGTCACCCGACACGTTAGGCAGATTGCTAACTAAACTCAGGTTAGGTCAACAGAAGTGGGTCGTCTCTCATGCTGACCTGTTGACTTGCTGAGCTACTTCTTAGTTCGGCTACTAAGATAGTGCCAAGGTCGCCAAGCGGGTTCAAGGTGTCCAGGGTGCTTTCTTTGCTTACTTGCGTAGTGCTAAGATGTCGCCTTACTATGTTGCAGTGCCACGTGCCTCATATCATTAGAGGGCCAAATCGCCCCTCATCAGCGTTCCTCATTATTACCAACTTTACATGTTAATTCCATTAGTTTTTCTGTTCCTGTAAATTCAGACGAGGAATTGACCCTTAACAAACTTACTATTTTGTTTCCAGGCGCCAAAGAAAGAAAAGGCTCCTCCATTTTCCAAGCCTGCCAAATCTGCGGGTGGTAAACAGAAGAAGAAGGTTTAAACAATGCCTAGATCTTTACCTCTTTTCTTATACGATCTCGTTTGCCTATTGATTTATTCATTTTTATTTTATTTATTATTATTATTTTTTGTAGTCTAGGGACTATTTTCGTTGTTGGAGCTCGATTTTATTTTGGTTTTTGTCTTTCAACGACGTAGAAGTGGAGCAATGGAAAGCAGAAGGAGAAGGTGAACAACATTGTTTTGTTTGACCAGGCGACCTACGACAAGCTCCTATCTCAAGCACCCAAATATGAGCTCATCACCCCTTCCATTCTATCTGACAGAGTGAGGGTAAGCTTGTCATTTGTTAAGTTGCTTTCCTTGCTATTTTACTCGTTATATATTGAATTATTAAGTTTTTTTTTATTTTTTTTTTATTTCGACAACTTCTTGAGTTAATGGTTTGGTTTTAGTAAACAATGAATTTTCTCTTTTGAATATGATATTGTCGATATGGGTGTCCATGGTTCGGTTAATAGAACTATGGGCATATTTTGCAAATCGAACTAGTGGTACCGGTTTTTCCATTTTTCCAAACCGAAACCGAACCGTACCACCAGTTAACCGGTCCACTGGTTTCAGTTTTTGTTTGATTCGGTTCTTCAGTTTTTTGGTTTTTTATATTTATAATATATATTATATAAAAATATGTATAATATTATATTATAAATAATAAATGATATATAAGATATTATAAATATTTTAAAAATATATAATATATTTATAAATAGATTATTCTAAATATAATATAAATATATATTTATATATATAATGAATATACATTTATATATAATATATAGAAAATATGTGGCATATATTAAAAACATATATAAAATATACTTATATATATATACCAATCAGTTCGGTTAACCACCGATTTTTTTGTAGGTTAACCGAAAACCAAACCGGTCCTTCAGTTTTTTAAAAATTACAAACCGAAATGAAACCAATTGTTCTCAGTTCGGTTTTTCGGTTCTAAGGGGTCTGTCAATGGATAAGTTCTGCCTAACTTCCCAATCCAAACTGATTATGTTGGTTCTGGTTACATGATTTTGTCCTGATTAATAATTGGGTTGGTTCTGGTTTTTTGCTTGTCCCAAATGTTTGATAGATAATATTTATGATAATATTAGTTAAAAATGTTTGATTTATTAACATATAATATAAATAATTTATTATTTTACTATCATTTTTGTCAAGATTATATTTTCAAAATTTATGTTTTAAGATATTATTTAAATAAATGAATATAGTTTTCAGAATAATTGGGTTTATCGGGTAAGACCCAGTAGAACCCGACTATTAATTGGGATGGTTCTGGTCCATTGTTTTGTTCCGATTAATAATCAGTTCGGGAGTGGTTCTTCATAGATCCAACCCAGACTCGACCCGGTGACAATCACAGCCCTAAGTGCAATTTCATTTGTACTGGTGCGAAAGTATGGGAGTGCAAACCGCAAATGATTGGAGTAAGAATCTGATTTATTTTTTGTTTCTAACTTTCACCTTATTTTGGTTGTTTGCATTGCAGATGGGGTAGAATAAAGCCTGGACCAAATTAAGTAAAACCCAAAACAGAAGTTAATTAGAATTTGCTTTCTTATTATTTGCACTCTTATGTATTTGTATTGGTGTGAACGAAATTGCACTACAAACCAAATGAATTCTTAAGGTCCATTTAGGCTGCATTTGGCATTTCTTATTTTAAGGATTTATATCCTTTTTGCTGTTAAAAACTTAGTGTTCATAGGGGCATTTTAACTGCAAAAAGGAGATAAGTCCTTAAAATAAGGAATGCCAAATGCAGCCTATCTCCTTTTTGCTGTTAAAAATTAAGTGCTCATAAGTGCATTTTAACTGAGAAAAGGAGATAAATCCTTAAAATAAGGAATGCCAAGTGCAGCCTTAGTGTGGTTTTTATTACCGATACTTTCAACCATTAAGACTGTGCTTGGTGCCTTAGTTTTTTTACCTTTCCCTTTCTTTCCTCACCGTTTATTTCAAACCAAATACAACCTTAAAATAGCACATAGTGTGTCTATACAACTGTGGGCTTTTGGACATTGTAGACACAGAGGACAAAAGTAAAAATTGTGCTTCTCCTTGCTTTTTTCATCTCCTTTCTGCGAGATCAATTAGAGACATGTTAAAACGTTCTTGGCCGGTTCAGCCTTGTTATAAGCATACCAATTGGACACATAGATTGGATCCATTGCTGGATCCCCAATAAGAAATAAAAATGCACCTTTCAGTGTATAATTA